TTGTACGTCTTCCAACACAGACTGGTCTGTGTCATTCATCCTCAGCTCTCAGAGCTCTGAGAAAAGATGTGCTTTACAGGGAGGCTGGGGAACAAGGTATTTCACCTTCAAAGCCAATCCCTGTTTCCAAGTTTGCCCAGTTTGACAGTTCCTTTGGGGGTCTCCAAACCACTCCAGTCAGGATCCACCTGCTACTTAGAACTCTTCAAAAGTAGGTGTCTCAAGAGGCTGTGAGAAGACAGGAGCCAGGTCCCTGCCCCAGAAGAGGGTTTATCCTGCTCAAAAGGACGACAAGGGCAGAGTGGATGCTGGGAAGCTTACAGGGCAGCAAGGACATTTTAAAGGACACCCGTCCCACTCCTCAGTCTGTCTCAGCTACATTCAGAGGCAGAACAAAAACAGACCAGAGACCCTAAGAGCCTAGCCACAATTCCACCCCTCCAGCAGGCTTGGACCCCTTCAAAACCACAACTTTTTGTACAAGAAAGAACAAAAATACATCAGTGAAAGCACCAAGTCGCCTTTGGTTTTACCAAAATGAAAAGGAAAAAACAAAAATGAGCCCTCCATCCATCCTAGAAGGAGCTACAGATTCCAAAAGCCCCTGCTGGTCCTACTGCCGCATGGTAAAGGAGGCTCCCTTCTAACCCAGTTTCTCACCCCTGCCCCCCAGTCTTCAGGGGATGAAGGAGTGGGGAATGGAAGCAACAACGAGGCACTGTTTGACTGGAGAAAAGAATGAGCAGTCAAAAGATCAAAGCTAGACTTAAGGAGGAACTTACCAGTCTTCAGGACTTGGAGATAAAATGAAAAAGAAAACAGCTTTCAGCTGATGGCAAGGCATGAGAAATGATTCTGCCAAGTTCCATAAGGGGCCATGCCTCAGTTTCCTCATCTATAATATGTGGGTGGTAGGAGGCAAGGTGATCCCTGAGGTTCTCTGAGGTCCTCACATTCTTCAGTGTAAAGACTGGGGAAGTGAGAATGAAATGGACATGGCTGCCTCGCTGCATGTAACCACTTCATTACCCCTTTGAGCATACCAGGAGTCTCTGAGTGTTGCAAACAGTTAACATGCTTTCACTGCTAACCAAAACGTTAGAGTCTGCCCAAATGAGCCTTGGAAGAAAGGCCTGGTAATCTACTGCTAAAAAACTAGTCATTTACATTCTGTGGAACGCAGTTCTACTTTGACTCACGTAGAGCACCATGAGTTGGAATCAACAATATGGCAACTGGTTACTGGTTGAGTTTGCTTCCTCCACGCCCAAATACACACCACACACCCCCTCCCAGCTCACTCCAGGCACCTACAGCAGCTGATCTCATCTTTCCCTGTCAGAGGCTGAGAGTTCTGGAGAAGTAGGAAATCCCTAGGTCACTAAAAGAAAGGGAATTAGTTTCCTGTAATCCCAAGACACTTGGGCACCCAGCCCTGGCCAGCACAGACCTCACCCTGCTCCCAATTAGGACCTGGAAGAAGGGGCAGGGCCAAAATTCTTGGTTCCCCAAAACCATGAGAACATCTCCACCCTCCCTCCTCAGCCACTCACCCCAGAGCAGGAAAGCTGGGGAAAGTGAACAGACCCCAGAAGTCTGCAGCCAACACGAAGCGGAAGAGTGTAGCTAATAAATTCCTAACCCATACACCCACCCTGTTTTCCTCACAGTCCATGCCCACACCCACTGGACACCCCAAAAGTTGGTTCCCTGATATGCAATTCTACTGCCTATTTTTAGACAGCCATCCATAGATTCTCCCCAAGGAGGAGAAAACAGTCAAGCTGCCCCAAGCTCCAGGCTCTTACATTTGCATGGAGACAAAGAAGCAGGTTTGTCCCAAGCTGGCTGTGTGGACCAATCTGCCCCATTTTCTGAAAGTCCAGTTTACAAAACAAAAAATAATTGAGGGCATAAATATTTCTCTAACAAACAGAGCAGCCTCACTGCCCCCACCTAGAAGCTTCAAGAAAGAATTTGGTCAACAGTAGTTCTATTGCTGGCTATCATGCAAAAGCGAGCGTGCAGGCCCCTACCTTGCCACAGCAATGCCCGATGGCCAAGCTGGACCGTGTGAACATAAATGCAGCCTATTCAGTTGGCCTCCCTGGCAGCTTCTCTCCGGCCCCAGCATGTGTGTCTGGGTGTGAACTAGGCTCCCTGATGTCCTCTCCCTGCCTCACCCCAAATAAACCTGATGCAGAGAAAGACGTCTTTTCAGTTTCTTACAGTCATGTATCAGAACTTCGATCCCAGTTCTGAGAAGCCACAAGGGAAAGAAAGATATTGTTCTCTCTTGATCTCTGTCCTGCAGAACTCTGGCTTCTTATGGGGCTCAGGGAGCGGCCAGAAACAGGTATAGGTAGATGCCTCACTGTACACCAACCACACATTCACTGGGTGGATCCCAACTCCCTGAGCAAAGTGCCAGAAGAGATCACCTGTCCCTCTGCAACGGGAATGGGTGGTGCTGTGGAGAAGCCCAGGCCAAGACAAAAATATACATCCTAAAAGTCCCAAGAGTCGGGAACTGGATATCACCAAGGGATGGGGTCAGAGGCAGGAAGAAAACAAAATGGAATGACAGCAAACACTTGGGGAAGTACCAGGCAACAGTTGTTGTTGTTAAGTGCCGTCAAGTCGATTCTGACCCATAGCGACCCTATTTAGGATTTGCGTTGAGCAGCTAGTGAGTTTGAACCGCTGACGTTGCAGTTCAAGCGGCTTTGCAGTCTGGCACATTAACCCACAGCGCCACACCGGGACTCACTCCTTGGTCTAGGATCCAGTGTCCCTCATAGAACTTTCATTTCCATTTCAGCTCCTAGATGGGGAAACTAAAGTTCACGCTGGTCTACAACGCCTTTATCCTGATCCCCCCCCCCAGTCCCCAGCCTATAGGCACAGACATTGCTCAGCTGACTGAGGGTATGTAAAATGCCTTGAGCAAGATGCTACCACTGCTGGAATGTAAGGTAGCTGGGTCACAAATCTCCCTGGCCCTTCCCAGATAATATCCCTGCTGGGACAAGGGTCAATTGGGTGCTGCAGGGACTAGGCTTGTAAAGGAAGGGGTGGGTACACCTTCTTGGAGAAGGAGCCACTTCTGCCTTAAAGGTTGGAAACGGTATCCAGGGAGGGGCCAGCATCTTCTGCCTCCCCCAAAGCTCCCCTAAGGAGCCCTGGTGATGCAAAGTTTACGCAATCAGTTGCTGACTAAAAAGTTAGTGGTTCAAACCCACCGAGCAGCTCTATAGGAGAAAGACCTATAATCTGCTTCCATACCCCTATGGAGCAGTTCAACTCTGTCACAGGGTCAAAAATCAAACTGATGGCCCTTACAGTAAAGAGCACCCCCAGCTCTTGTAGGAGCCGCCACTTTCACTGGCTGCAGCCTCCTCAGAAGAGGGTAGGAGACTTTGGTACCAGGCTGAGACCATGCGAAAAACAAGGCCAAGCCTCAGATTGCTTTCTCCAGTGTTCACTGACTCTGGGCTACTGAAGCTTTAGGAAGCGACAAGAAGCAGAGTCCCTACCTGCCACCCGCTGGGCTTCAAGGCCCAACTAGATTGTTGTGGGAAGAGTGGGGTGGAGGAGATGTAGAGACTCAGAAACTACCCCTCCTAAAGGAGTCTTGGGATCCAGGCTGAAGTGATCCAGCAGTCATGGGGTTAACTGCCCCAGCTTCTCTGAACCCCACCCCACTCCCCAAAGGAGGGAGGAAGCAGCAAAGAATCAGGGCAAGGGCTTGTGTGAGCCCTTAAGAATCTGAAGAATGTCCCTTTTCCCTTGGGGGGTGGGAGGGGTTGATAGTGGGAGAAGAGGAACAGAAGAGCTAACAGGAGAAATGGCAGCTGAAAAAGGGGCTGGGACAGAGCTGTGACCCACCCTCATTCTGTGACAAACTTCCCAGTGCCCTAGTCCTTTCCAGAAGGGACAACATTCATATTGTTTCTTGAGCTTGAGATTTTATCCAAAATCTGTTTTTCCAGCACCTGGCACAGGTTGGTTGTATAGCAGCGGACAAGCAGTAATGTCTGATGAATGATGAGCCAGCTTGAGCCCCCCAACTGCTTTGAGGCAAGCCCCAAATGGAGTTGGCCTGACTACGAATAAAAATTTTTTAAATCTGAAGACCGATCTTGCCATCTACTTACAAGTGACTTGACCTTCAGAAGTCTCACCCAGCAGGGTGGCTCTCAGGCTACAGGTGCCATGTATTTAGCACTGTATTGACACTTGCTAGGCATGAGGTCAACTTGAACATGGAAGATGTGGCACTCTGGAACTGGGTGTGCCTCTTCGCCAGACAGCCCAGGCTGTAGGCTGTAGGGCAGAAGGAAGCAAGTCTAAGCCAGCTCCACCAGAAAAGGAAGAGTTGTCTCTGCAGCTTTCCTTCACTAGGCAGCAAGACAACCTGCCTCCAGCCACACCACACTCTTTGTGACATCCCCACTTCTCAAGGAATAAACACCAAGAAGAACACAAGCCAAGGTCCCAAAAGTCTTCTGGAGGGAAGCCCCAAATACAGGTCTAAAGAGGTGATCACAGAGAGGTGAGGTTAGGAGACAGAAATTTGTGGTAAAGGAGAACTAAGGGAGGAAAAGCTCCTAAACGCAAATACAACTGGGCAGAAACCAGGGCAGATTTCTTGAAAGACTCATCCCTCTCTCAGCGGGATGCAGTGGAAAGAACATGCTTGCTTTATGATCCAGAGGCTGGGCTTGAATTCCATTCCCATTGGTCATGTGATCTTGGAGAAGTCCCTTTCTCAAGCCTCAGCCTCCTCAGCAGCAAAATGGGGATAATGATAGCCTTCACTTCTCCTAGCTCTTGTGAGCATTAAACAGGATCAATACTTAACGAGTAAAGGGTGAAAGCGCTCAGCACCATCACCTTGTGGTTGTTAGAAGGGGAAAGGGGAGGGAAAGACGGAAGGCCTCAGGGAGGAAGCCCAAGTGCCCCCAGGCCCCCAGGCCCCCAGGCAGGGCAGGACTCACGCATTGCAGTAGGGCTTCTTCTCGTAGCCCTTGTAGTTCTTCATGTTGAGTGTCATCTTGCAGGTCTCACAATGGAAGCATGCTTTATGCCAGAACTGGGGACAGAGTCAGGGAAAGAACACAGGTCAGACATCAGGACTTTAGGAAGGGGGCTCAGAACCAAGGTTCAGGTCTGAGGAGGACTCCATAGCCGGGGGGTCTGGCTCAGGCCCACAGCTATGGGGAGAACATGGAATTCCACTGGCTGAGCTGAGGACATCTCAGATCATAGGCGTTGGCAGCTGATGACACTCCCCTTCCTTTCCCTGCCCCCCACCAGTAAGCCATTTGAGCTGTCAGGAGAGGGAAAGGGGCTGAGCTGAAGGGTGAGTGGTGAAGACACAGATTACAGTGGAAGCAAGCAGCCCCCAAAAGGTCGCCTCCACCTCCCCCAGACCATTTCTCCTGCCCCGGAGCCTGGAAGGCATAATGGCTTCTGCAAAGCTGCACTAGCTTTGCTAAGAAGCAGCTACTGAACAAGAAGGGATAGTTCCTCTGGCCTGACAGGGCCCAGAGAACAGCCCAGCCCCCACGTACCCAGGCCCAAAAACCAGGCACTCCCAGCTCCCATACCAGGACCACTCAGTACAACATTCACCCTGCTATATATAAATATATATATATATATATATCGACCAGGTGGGGGTCTTGTTAAAATGTCAATTCTGATTCAATATATCTGTGATGGAAATGCAACTTCTCAGCAGGGGTTGAACTGGAATGAACCAGTTCAAAGCCCTGCAACATACACAAGGACAGAAACCCCACCAGAGCCCCCAGTGAGACGCTCCAGTTCCAAGAGCTCCCACTTCCAGTGGAAGTCTGACCAGAGGAACGAGGTGGGCACCCCAAGCTGTAGCCACCAACACCTACATCCTTTTTGTCCTCCCCTCAGTCTTCTCCCAGCCCAGGGTGAGCTATCGGGTAACAGAGCACCCTACAGCCTGTCTTCCCCAAGAGGAATGAAGAGCTCTGCTTTAAAGTCTTGGGTTTGACACTCCATAGTTGCCATCAAAGTTTCACCCTTACTACCTATCTATGTCACTGTGGACAGCATCCCACACCCCTGGGCCTATTTCTACATTTGTAGAATACTTGTCCCTTCTGGGACCATTGTGAGGATTAAAGGAGAATCAGCTGGCACCTCTCATAGGCACAGTGGTATGAAGCTCAGCCAGGGGCTCAGTGGGCCACACTGGACATATACGTGTGTATGTTGCGATGCAGGTGCTCAACCACAATTACAATGTGTGTATTTGAGAGTGAGGGAGAGGGAAAGCCTAACAAAGTTCAGGGACCTGCAACCACTGAATCAGAACAAATCCAAGGCAGCTAATGGAGAGTAAAGTGTAGATGGAAGTGAAGGAGAAACGAAGTGACCCAACCCCTGAGAAACAGTGCTGCTAAGGCAAATCGATGCAAATGAGATTATGAAGCTTCCCCTGGAACCCAAGATGAGACCCTGAAATCGGCTCTCAACTAGGGGTCCATCTACCTGGACCCCAGAATCCAGGATGGCTAGGTGACTTGGCTGACTTGTCCTTGTCCACTTCCCAGATGCCAAGGATACTTCTGATCCCTAAAAGGTGGAGGCCAGGAACCAAGAAAGGGTCAAGAGAGACTTTCAAAGGAACCCAGTCACAGGACTGGTTCTTGGCCATCTGTCAAGGAATTCCCTCAGTGTTTTTCAAAGTGTGTCTCCCACGCCAAGTGGTGCTTCTGGGACACTTTGGAGGAGGGGTTAGAAAAAGGCAGGTGAAAAGTTGGGATAGCACTCCTTCCAGCCCACCAGAGATCACGAGGGTCATTTAAGGGGGTAATCGGCTTCTAATACAGTACTTTCCCTATCAAGGAGACCCAAAGGAATCTCTTATGGTAGACTATTAAACACTGTGATAAGACAATGACTCTTTTGGGAACATGGCCAGCTGCCAATCTGGAAGCAAAGGATGCCTGGTCTAAGCTTGAGTCTGCAGTAGTGGTCATAGCCCCCAAACCCTAGTCCTTCCAGGTCTATCCCAGAGCACCCACTACTTCAAAACTGCCAGCCTCCTCCTGGTACCTAACCCCAATACATACTATGAAAGACTGAAACAGGGTAGCCCTTGCCCCCAAGAGCCCCCAAAGTGACAGCTCTTTTCCCTTCCCCATGACTGGGAGGTGCTGGCAGAGTGCCCCAGCTCTGTCACCACCCAGTCTGCTGGCCTCTGCCTGCTTAGCCGCACATGCCCCTGCCTGGGCCCCTGCCTCCCCCCACCCACCCCCACAGGGGCCTGCCAGGAAAAACATTCTCCGGAATCCAGACCATGACCCACTTTCACACACATACACAGAATACATACTGTCCCAGCTTGGGGGACCTCCTGATTGACTTGGGGGAGACAAAAGGCAGACAGGCAGAACCCCCTGCCCCAGCAGATGATCAGATCCTTTGGAGTAGGGGGCCTGAGTCTACTGACCAGGTTGGGGGTTTCCACAAGATGCATTCCAGGCTGCGATTGGAGTAAGGTGAGCCACAATGCAAAGATGATGCCCATTTCCACCAGTAGCTCTTCATTTCATCCCAAAGAACCCTTGCTTAGAACTAGGCACATTAGAAGCTGGGGAAATGGTCACCTGTTCCCTTTGATCAAAGAAATCAAAATCAAACAAGCCCACTGCCTTCAAGTTGATTCCAGCTCAGCAATCCTATAGGACAGATTAGAATTGTTCCTTAGCATTTCCAGAACTGTAAATCTCTACAGGAGGAAAGAGCCTCATCTTTCTACTAGTAGGTTTGAACGACTGACCTATGGTTGGCAGACCGATGCTTAACCCAGTATGCCACCAGGGCTCAGGAAAGTCAGAGCATAATTATAAAGTGGACTGAATGTCTTCGGGCTTATTACTGACCTCAGTCTCCATATCTGTATAGTGGATCTAAAGACTCACTGAGGTGCTGAAAGGAATGATGAGCTAAGGCTGCTTCATGTGACTTATTTCCCTCTCCTCTCTGGAAAAGGGCCCCAGCATTAAAGAAAGTCTAGCAGTTCCTGCCACTCTGCCCTCTTTGGTTGTAGAAATGCTGTGGGGAAGAGAAGGCAGAATAGGACAAATCACTTAACAGTCCCTGTGGTCCAACCTAAATCAGACACCAGGACACAAAAGATGAAAGAGACCCCAACCCTGTCTCTAAAATGAGGGGCACCTGGTGAAAAGACAAGGAAATAAGTCAGTATGTTCCCACAATGTCTGCCTCTCCCCCCCCCCCCCCCCCCCACGATTTCCAGGCACCTAGTCAGGTCCCAGAGCAAGCATCCCCCTTCCTTAGAGGCCCCAGGTAAGGTTTCAGACAAGCATTCCAGAAACTAAACTTGTAACTCAGGGGAGCAAAGTACACCTCTGGGCATGCAACTTGAATCCCTCCTACTTCCTGATAAGTCCACCCTATCTTCAGAGAAACCCATACTACACCCACACCAAACCTCTGAGGGTGATTAGAAACCTCTCAGCCCAGCTCCTAGTTGGGCTGCAATCTACTCTACAGAAAGGCAAACTGAGGCTGCTAACAGCAGAAGCCCTGCTTGGAATCCCCATCACCTGGGCTGTCCTCATCCTCCCTGAATCACCACTTTTAACTACAGGAGACAGGGGCCGGGGAACAAGGGCAGCAAGCTTCAGGTTGCTATGGAGACAGCAGCCTGGCACCTTGCCCTCTGCACCAGGGTTGTCCTGGGGAGGTTGTGACTCAGGGTTGGAATACAAGTTCTTCTCCTCCCTTCCTGTCAACCAGGATTACAGTTTCTTCCTCCTCCAGGGGCAATGCCAGCACTAGCCCCACCCTGGTCAGGTCACCAACCTAGCTCGGTTGGCCACCTGGGCGGCTGGCTTAAAGACACAGACCCTCTTTGAACCTTTGCTGCATCTTCACAAATTCCAAGAGATTTTTATTGTTAGTGCCCCAGCTGCCCAGTGTCAGGAAGGGCTGGGACCCACTTTCCACACACAAGAGACAATTTAACTAAAAGGACTTTTTTGCAAACATACCAAGCAGGAAGAACTGGAGCATTAACTTCCAGCTCCAACTAAGAGACAGTAGCCACATCACCAGTCCAAGGCTCAGCTGCTGTTCCTGAGATTGGTCATTTTCAGGAGGAACACTGGCTTTGTGAAGTTGCTTTCAAGACCTAACACATCATAATAAGTATCAAATAAAAACCATGACGGAGGCAATGGGTTTTGGATAATACGAATGGAAGATCACAAGGTGATCATAGTAGGCTCCTCTAAGCCTCAAACTAGGAAAATGACAGAGCCACAGCTCTGTCTCCTTTTTGTGTCCTGGAACCCAGGCATCCCACTATCCAGTCCAGTCTCCTTATTGCCCCAGACCCAGGAGCTCAAATGACCAAAGGCAGAAAGCCCCACCCTCGGAGGGGATTCCAGGGGAACTATGGGTAGACCAATATTCTACCTTCCTCAATGTCTCCACCTGCTTCAGGAGCCGGTGAAAGCAAACTGGCAAAGAGGGACATGGCAAGACAACGCAGGTCCCCAGAAAGTTTTCTAATGAGGCCAGGGATGCAAACCTTCCACCTCACTCAGAATGTAGAGGATATGAGGTTGACAGAAAAGATAAGGCCTCTTTCCCTTGCCTAAGCTCCTGTGGCAGCCCTTTAGAGTGCCTGGCACAAAGTAGGTGCTCAATAAATATTTGTAAAATGAAGGAAGGAATGAGGTCACCTTGTTTCTCCCCCAACCCTAATCCCAGAAGTCCTCTGGAGAAGCAAATCTCGACCTCCTTCCTCAAACACCATCATCAGCAATACATATTTATCCAGCATGCAGTGCACACTGGGTACTGCAGGTTGGGGGGGCAAGGCCGTCAGTCAAGGTGACACAGCCTCTATACACCTGTACCTTTGGGAGATATGGCTGAGGGAGGAGAAAAGGCTAATCCGGAAGAAGTAGCTTGTGCTTTTGGCTATATTACAAATTAAGTGCTGTAGGGGACTTGTAGGGAAACAGGTGAATTCTCTTGTGAAACAATATTATGTTGAAAATGCAAAGCTTCAGGAAGTTGACTAGAAACAGTGCCTCTGAGACTGAATGTTCTCCATCCCAGGTCTCAGCACAATGTCCTCCAGACACCAGTTCCCCATTCCAGGTGCCTGGCCTGACTGCCTGCAGGGGTTGGAAATAATAAATCCAATAGCTGAATATTCCAGTCCTCTTGCTCAATGCAGAGGGCGAGGTCTCCCCAGGGCCACCTCCTGTAAGAAGGGCTCTAAAAAGAGGGAGGAATCACCAACTTCTAGTCCCCTGGACAACGGCCATCTGAGAGTCCTCTTCCAACTGGATCAAGAAAACAGGTGCAAAGGACACCTTAAGGGATCCCTGCCCCCTCCATTCTGACACAGCACTGAAGGAAGTCAAACGTGGGGCTAGATACAGGATCCCAAAGAAGTAGGCAGGGCACAGCCTATAGCACAATGCAGTCCACACACTTTGGCAGGTGCTTGTCAAGTGCATTGCCCCCACGGAAATGCCATGATCACGCTGAGGCCCAGAGCCATTCATAAAGCTGGCAGGAGCAGACCTGAAACTAAGACCAAGTCTCCCCGCCACCCCCAGCCTAGCAATCCCTCCAGCTCATGGACCTTACATGGATGAAAGTGTCCATAGCTTCTTCCCAACTCATGACTGAGGAGAAAAGGGGAGCATAGGGTACTCAAGGTTCAGAGGTCAAAATCCCTACCACCAGAGTAGAGAAAAAAATCCCAGTGTGCAAAGACAGAGAACTTCTCAAGGGCACAATTCTTGAACTAGTCATTCCAAGCTCAAGTCCCATCCTCCAGAGACTATAATGGCCTTTAGGAGGTCAACACCTTGCCCCCTCTTCCTATGTATGTCCCTTCCCTCCTCTCCTCTTGCCCAGCCAAGTCAGGAGGGGCAGTGAAAGAGCTGAATTTCCATATGCCCTCTTCCCCCAAGAGCAAGTTCAAATGTATTTCAGAACCCTACCCCCCTTCACCCTGACTCAGAGGCCAAGGGTCACATAGGAAGCTCAGTTCCAAAGGGGAGGAGAGACACAAAGTATTCGGTGAGCTATCTCTTTTCCCAAACAAAACCAGCTCCGGGGGAGGGGATTCAGCAACGAAGTTGACCCCAAGGGCTCTGCGCCCCTCTTCCACCCTGTAGCCCCGCCCCAATACCTCTACCAGTTCAGACAGAAAGGTGAGAGAATATTTGAACTTGGAGCCAGCTTTGGCAAGTAGGTGAAGAGGCGCAATGGAAAAAGGAATAAAATCCCAGGGACCTCTACCCCTGTCGGGAAAAGGATGCAGAGATCAGATTTTTGCCTTAGGGAGCTTTCAAGAGGCCCGGATCCGACCCAAACTGTGCTGGAAACACCCAGTTCTACTCTCCTCCCGCCGCCACCTTCAAAAGTATAATGGCAACCAGACGGAGTCCAGCATGGGGGTGGGGGGCCGATGGCACGTATAAGGGCGCCCAGGGACAATGAATTTTCACAAGGCCACCCTCCTTTCCCCCCTCAAATACCTTCCACTTTCCATATCTTCCCCTGAACTCAACCAACCCCACCCTCCATTGGGGAAACCTGCTGTGAAAAGTTAGCTCTTTGTTCTACAAGCTGATCTCCAGGCTCTGAGCACAATTTTAGGAGATTTCAGCGAAATATTCCCACACACCCCACTCCAGCACCCGACCCCGCCCCGTTCCGGCAGGGCCGGCCAGCAACCGGGAGTTGGCTTTTAATCGGAGTCGGGGGTTAGGAAGCGAAGGGAGGAGGTTTGATAGTCTATTAACCACCGAATCACCAAAGGGGTTTCCGGTCGTCCAAAAAGGACCCAGTGGGTTGCGGGTCCTTATCCGAAGCCCCCATCATCATAGGCAACACTCGCCCACTGATAGCCTCCGCTCCTCAGTCTCCAGGCCAAAAAGCCCGGTCATCCGCAGCCAAAGGGGACGGCAACACTGGGGCCCCCCCAGTCCCTGCCCCGCCCCCTCCCCCAGCGCCCCGCGCTTCCGCCTACTTGGCGCTCCGCGCAGCGGGGAGAGGGAGCGGCCGTCTCCTCTCCTCTCCCGGCCTTAAGGGGCGGGACTGCACCCCTAAATACATCCCCACCGGGCAAGCTTCCCCGCTCCCCTCCCATCTTCCCAACCCAGGCGCACAGAGCCCACTCTTCTCCTGGAGTGGCGTCCACCACGCGTGGACTCTTCGCCTCGCCCCGGATCTCTTGGATTCCAGAGTGGGGTCTACCCCTACACCCCAATGACACCGCCCTCCCTTCCCTCCTTCAGGGATCGCCTTAGACCCAGCCTTCTCTCCTCCCCCAACCTGAGCACTCAGGGATTGCAAAAAACGCGTCTGTGGTCCCGGACTCACCTTATCCAGACAGTTCACCTTCTCCGTGGGATACACGATCTTGCCGCACCGGGCGCAGTTGGGGTTCATGGCTCCTGGAAACGATGGAGCTGGGGCGCCCGAGCTCGCGCACGTTTTCTGTCTCCCGGGCGAAGTGGCGGGAGGCGACCGCGGCTGCTACTAGCAGACGGCGGCGACGGAGGCTGGAGCTGGGGAACTGGCCTCCGCCTCCGCCCTCCTTCCCCTAATAAACACCACGAGGAGGAGGGGCTGCACTGGGGCGGGGACGCGCCGCGGGCGCGGGCAGGGGCGAGCGCGATGATGCGCGCGCTCCCCGGGCGATGTCGGGCTACGCGGGAGCGAGTTCCGGGGAGGGCTGCGGGAACGGGGGTGTGCAACAAGGTGCGTCCCAAGAATCCTCGCGCCCCGTCACACCTTGGTGGACTGGGCCCTGGAGAGCCGTGCCCGGCAGCCAGGCGCGCGGAACCAGCTTTGCCCAAGGCCCTGGTTGCGCTGGGGACAGTGCGGAACGGATCTAGACGTATATCTAGGCTGCAGGACGTGGGCAAATCACGCTAACCTGTCCTGAACGCCCGACCAAATTCACCATGGGACAGTCACTATTCGGGGACTTTGCTGTACGCGTTAGTACCTGACTTGAACCTACCGACCAAACGGGAACACCCCCCCCCATGCCCCGCCCCTCAGCTCCCCTCCCCCCACACACCTTTTCCCACATTTGTAGGGCAGGACCTGTCCCTCCCGCCCCAGCTCTGCGCTCTCAGCAATATACTTTTCCCGTGGTACTCCGGATTCGGACACCCTCTGCTTTCCGCTTCGTCCTCTTTGCTCCATTCTTTTCTCTTAATCCCTACTCTTCATATTCAGTATGGCAATGGCAAGCGTGTCTTAGTACTGAAAATAGCCATTTCCAAGCCTAGCAACGGCGAGGGGGTATAGCTCAGTGGTAGAGCATTTGACTGCAGATCAAGAGGTCCCTGGTTCAAATCCGGGTGCCCCCTCTGTAGCTTTTTTTTTTTTTTTTTTACCTTCACCCTTCTTCTGTAACTACTGTAATTCTATTTTTCATTCTTTCTTAATTCTCTTATTTTAATATTGAGTTCTGGGTTAAAAGAAAACAGAAAAATGTTATCAGTCCCTTCCTCATTTTCCAACCTTAGCGGAAAGCTTTCGGTTTTGCTTTGTGCTCGGCAACAAGAAGGGGGAGGTGTGCGCACAAATCACGTACAAAAGCAGCCAGCGGGTCCCGGATTCATGCGGCCATAGCCGCCAGCCTTAGATCGACCAGTCAGTTTCAGGTGCGGGTTTAGCGGTCAGGATAACTTCCGCAAGTCGACGTTCGGTTCCCGACCAGAGTGTAGGGAGGTGGGTCAAAAGGAGAAAATTCAGAGACAACTCCTCCCCAACTTCAACTTCCTTTAATATCTTACTGGAGACAGGGCCACGCTGTGATCACCCTTCCGTATTAATCATGACACTGGTAGACCGAAAGCACTTCGAGAACGTTCAAATGATCAGTGAACACCCGTAAACTTTTTTAAAATTAAAAACGTAAGTTTTTAACCTGATGCAACCGGATATAAACTAATACAGTGGTGCTCAAACTTGAGAGGGCATCAGAATCACCTGAGAGCATGTTAAAATACTCCAATTTAAACCAAATTAAAAAAAGTGGACACTTTTTTTTTTTTTTTTAAGTACCCTAGACCGGTTCTGTAAGACTGGAGTGGTCCCAACAATTTACATATCGAATAAATTCACACACATAAGCTGATGTTGCTGTTTCCCGGGGTACACAGTTTGAGAACCGCTTGAACTAAGGTCACCGAGTTTCATAACTTAGATGGGAACAGATATTTGCTGGCCAGAGGAAAATGTAAAGTGTGAAGAACGGAGAAGCAGAAACATCCCCTTCGGCTGGGTTTTGCCCAAAAAAAGTAAAAATAATGGGAAAAGGGAGAAGCATACTGCATAGGTCAGAGGGCAGCTGCAAGATATTTTAAACCTGGAATCTGGTTGTGTCATGCCTCCGGGCCCGGGGGAGTATTCAAGAGCTTTTTTTTTTTAACATGATTTCCATTACTATGAACTGCGTGGCAGAATTGGAAATGCAGAGAGAAAAAAAAAAAAATGCTAGTGTGGCGCTGTAGGACAAGCGATGGACTGTTAGCTGCAAGATTGGCAGTTCAAACCCACCAGGTGCTCCTCGGGAAACTTTATACAAGGTCGCTTTGAGTAGAACCTGACTGCGTTTAACAGCAACCAAAGACTCAAATCGCCCTTTTTACAACACTAGGCCTCGAACTTACATACCTGCAAGATGTCCTATAGAAGCTCTACCAGCCGCTCCGCGGGAGAAAGATGAGGCTTTCTACTCCCGTAAAGATTTACACCCTCGGAAACCCTATACAGGGTCGCTATGGGTCGGAACCGACTCGATGGCACACAACAACAACAACAACAGGCCTCGAACTTACATACCTGCAAGATGTCCTATAGAAGCTCTAACCTTTGAGCCAAGATAATAAAGGGTGATAATAGTTAACTTTCACTCTGTATCGAGTACCTGTGCTATGTCCTGTTTAAAAAAAAAAAAAAAAAAAAGAGCATGCCAACCTTGTAAACCTGGATTCTTTCTTCTAGTTGTCCGGGTGAGAATACAAGCTAGGTAAAATAATAGTTTCCCACCACGCCATTTTTATCCAGGAGCAAATTAAAATTAACAACTAACATTAAGCCAGGTGGTAATTAATGGGCTAGACGCAGCTTAGGATGGGACTACTTCAGCACCTTCCTTCTGTTTTAAAACAGAAAACACGTGAACTTCTCGCCGGTGATTCATGGTACATGGCTCAGACTTGTAGGTTGTTGCTCTTTCTCTGGCCCGGGGAACATTTGAAAAGCAATTACGAGAAAAACACTGCCTATTGCTCGAAATAATCAGGCTTATTTTAAGGGCACAGTTTGAGGTCCAGAACCCGAAGATTTCTAAAAGTAGTAAAGCTAGGCAAGGGGGCACCCGGATTTGAACCGGGGACCTCTTGATCTGCAGTCAAATGCTCTACCACTGAGCTATACCCCCTCTGCAGAAAAAGCTGTGGTAGATTCTTTTTTGCATGAATTCCAAAGATCCCTTAATGCTGAAACTTGTTTATTTGTTCAAAATAACCTTTTTTTCCTAACGAGAAAACATAATTTTAAACATCTAATTTAAGCTAGGAGTCTTGGTGTGGCGCTGTGGGCTAATGCATCAGACTGCAAAGTCATTTGAACTGCAAGGTCGGTGGTTCAAGCTCACCAGCTATTCCTTGGAAACCTATACAGGGTCGCTATGGGTCGGAATCAACTCAATGGCACTTAACAACAACAATTTAAGATACGATAGTTTGAAAACGGAGTCCTAACTGAGACAGGCGCTATGGGTTAACGCGTTGGACTGCAAGGTCGGTTTGAATCACAAGGTCAGCAATTCAAACTACCAGCCTCTCCTCGGAAACCCTATACAAATTTGCTCAGAACCAACTCGATGGCACTTAACAATGCCAATCTGGCTTTTCTAGGGTCAAACCTTGTATCACAATCCCATTCATGTTTCTCCCCTAACTAGTCAGAATTGCTTTTAAAACCTTTTTCTAAAATGGATTGGGAATCTTTTCCTCTGGTCTCTATAAAAAGAATGCAAACACCAACTAAGAAGACATCTTCATTTCTAGAGTGATCTTTTCTGGCCATACTCTTTATTAGTTTATTTGGACAAGCACTTAATTATGTGTAGGTTTGGCTCTAGGTGCAGGAGATAACTTTTTAGAAAGTTATAGAAAGACACAAGGTTCTCATTCTCACTGAATTACTAGGATAATCTAGAAAAAAATGCACAAATAAATAAGGAAATACCCAACAGTGACAAGGAAAATTACTAAAATAAAGCACAAGATGAAGAGTGAGGGCGGTGTTGGAGGACTGTTTCAGATTGGATAACATGGAGGGACTTTCTAGGAAGATGATTTTGGAGTTAAGACCTGGATGACATGAAGGAAGACAACTATGCAGCTATCTAAGGTAAGTGGAGCATTCAAGTAGAAAAAAACGGTTACTACAAAGGTCCTAAGGTCAAGCTAGCTAGAGAAAGGTGGACAAAAGGGACAGTGATTCCAGAGAACTGGCTAAGTAGCCAGGGTTGTGGAGGGTCTTGTAGACCTTAGTAAGGAGTTCCAATTGTATTCCAAATGATCTAAAGTTACTGAATGGTTTTGAGCAGGGTTTTTATAAATCAATATGAAAACTGCTACAAAAAGATTTGCAGGGAGTCAAGAGTGGACTTAAGAAACCAGTTGCTGCCTGCATACACAAAGTAGACAGGGATGGGCAACTTGAACATTGGCTACCCAAAATGGGGGGGGGGTGCTACAAAGGGCAAGAAGTGACTGGTTTACAAGCTTTCTAAAGGGAACCTAGATTCAGAGGGCGTGAAGGAAGGTAGAATCTCCACTAAGTAGTATCCAATCTGTCTAGGCAGGGCTGATGAAATGAAATGCGAATGGATCTCTTGTGATACAATAGTGAGTAATTGCTATCAGGACTGCTTGTGAGGATTGGAAATGTAAAGGTAGACGTTTTGTATCAAGGAGGGGAATGATTAACTTTTCAACCTAGGAGCGGAGGTACCTGGAACCATCGAGGGAGAAGAGCGGAGAGCAGGACCCTACCCAGAGAAGTAGTGATGCCTGAGATGGAGGCAGAGACGATGATGTGCAGCTGGGGACTTTAGACACAGAGAGGGAGAGGGGCTGCATGCTGACAAACAGGGAGTGGGAGGAGGGGGGAGGGGAGGACTTGTAGTGTATACCCTTTGGTTGGTTGATGATGCATGGAGGGATTGTAACCATTGCAATGAAACGATATAAGGTAGGATGAATGTAAAACTAATATTCTCCCATGTATACTATCATATAATTCACAATAAAACATTAAATAAAAAAAAGAAACCAGTTAGATATTTATTCCAATAGTAGACTACAGTAGTATATTAATTCCCTCCTATTGCTGCTGTAACAAATTACTATTAACTT